ACTATATAAAATATAGCCTTTATCATTTATTTTCTTACAATACTGAATTTTTACATAAGTTAGAAATACAGCAATATTGTTATTTTTTATCAAAGTTTAAACATATACCATGTGACAGAAAATCAAATTTTTTTTCTCAAATACGGTTGCGCTTATTGCTACCATAAATACAACACAATTGAGATTCTATTTTTTAAATTTTTCAGTACAAATTAGGCGCCTATTTTTCCCACACATTAAATACAGATGAAGCAAAAAATAACTTGTAATTGAAACATCTGACACCCACCTCTGATCAGAAATCATTCACTAAACATCAATATAAACCTTTATAAGGCCACTTTTGTACTTCGGCCAATAAGATTAATAATGCTAAGCTAATTAAATAATAATGAGAAATTAAAAAAAAAAATGAAAACTGTATCTAATCTCAAACCAATCTATTGACTGTGAAAAAATTAGTCAAATAATTTTGGGATAATCCAAATAATTACTTAAATCTTATGTGGAAAATATGTGATTGTTTTTGTGAATGTTGATAAGACGAATTTTCATTCCTAATTTATAAATATGACAGATAGTTTTTCTTATTTTGTTAATTATGTGTTTTATTCATTTTTCACACATTTACAGTTTTGCAACGATTTACTGCCTATGAAAATATAAAATAAAATTTTCCACTGGAATAAATTTGACTGATTTGTTTTCAATTTTTAAACAAAGTTTGCATAACGTGTGCACTCTTCACGGTAAGAAATTTTTTTTTCCTTTTAACTTAATATAGTTTTTTTTTTGCATTAAAACTAACATCGGTTAAGTATCTTCCTCGTCAAGTAGAAAATTTTCTTGGCATATTTATCATTGTCATGCTTGATGACAAATGACGTTAAACATGACATGATTGCAAGTGTTATTTATATTTCATTTTTAATGAGTTTTTATATGTTGTTTTTGTTTTTGTTTTTGCTGCTTTGACAGAATCGTGCTTTTGCATATATCGTTTTACCGATTATTGTGGTTATATACCCTAACAATACTCCTAAACGTCAAGTTTTAAACGCATGTCTGATATTTAATCATCATAAATACATTTTTTTTAAAAGGCTAATTTTTTCTAGAATATCAGATTGCATAGCAGAATTTCTGAATCTTCTGATTCGGTTATAATAGACAATAAATCAGGTGCTACATAAACTCTACAAAATAATGTTTTTATTGCATTTTAAATGATATCGTATCGAAAAGATAATCTACAATTCTTAAATAATATTTTAATTATAATAAATTATTATTAAATTAATAATAATTTTGATGAAGATGAATTTCTATAAACCGTTAAGCGCGCTCTATTATTGTCACCAATTCAGTCTTCTAACTGAAATCTATTATTATTTCATAGTATTATAGTATTGATATACCTTCTGTAGTTAACAAACAACAAAATCCGAGTACTTTTTGAGCAGAAGGTATAGTATTGATAATTCGATACTTTTTAGGTTGTTTCTTATTATTATTATTTTTAAAATTTGATAAATTCGATTTATTATAGTTGATATTAGGTATTAGATTATTATAGACCATAAAAGCCACGCGTAGAAAGCCATGTAAGGTCCATTGCGATACCAGATCGGAGTTTTATTTATAGCGATAGTGTGCATCGCTGTTGCTGGAAATGAAAACTTTTTTGAAGTATTTTTATTTTTCTTTATTTTTTTGTTATTTTTTCTGTTGTGTTTTAACTTTCTAACTTAAGCTTATAGTATGTTTCCATTGGCTTTGTTAAACCAGTTTATTTACTTGAGATTCCTTGAATTATTTAAATCTCAAGTAACTCAATTGTTCTAACGAAGCCAGTAGAAAAGTAGTATAGGGCCTTCAATATTCTCATATATCTTATGTATCGTAATAACTTCTTGAAACTATTCCATTCATGATCGTTTGTTTCTTTTTTTTTCGTCTTCTGGTATTTTTCTTTTCATTAAAACGTAAGGCATTCACCATCCCCATATATCATACTTTCTGTATTGTAATTTTCAGTCAATGTTATTCCATTCCATAGGTGAATATACATGACAATATTAAAAACTATATACTATATGCTTAGTTTTTTTAGTGATCACTTAAAGTTCTTACAAGCAGAGATACCATTATGACGATTAAAAGAAATTTTGATTAATTTTTATTCTTTAAAATAAAATATTCTTAATATAATATTCTTTATACTTTTACATTTTTTATTTATTTATTTCAAATGTGTTATATAGATATTTTATTCAAAATATTAAAGCATATATTCGAATAAATAAATACATTTTGATCGAGTTCATTCGTATTGAAGGGCAGACTGAAACTATACATTATGCTTGCAATACATTAACATATGTCCAAACTCGAAAGAAAGAAAAAATCGAGAGTGATTGGAGAGAAGATCGTAACTACGTTACCTTGAATTACTCCATATAGTAGAGGTTTCAAGAAGTAGTGAACTATAGCAAAAAAAATGTTATATATTTTTTTTTAATTTATTGAATTTTTGGTTGAGTAGACAGCTGTTTCGAGTATGGTCAGCTTAATATATAATTCACATAAATATTTAATAGCAATTATAATGTTTATTTATATAAACATTTTATAAATCAAAATGTCATTTTCCAAGCTCGAACTAAAACACGTTTATCATAAAAGTCAACATTATATCATTTTAATAAAATTTTAACTTTAAGTATTTTTACAACATGTTACATGCAAAATTCTCAAAATATCTGAAAATAAAACTTGTCTTCTTGGAACACCACGCGTTTTGTAAAGCGGTGTTGTCATCATTTTCTGTGATTTAACATATCTGCTAACATGTCCAACTTTGGTTAAACAATATTCGATCAATGAATCTCTTAGATCGGCCACAAACTAGTATAATAAACAAGCCAATATAAAACTTACACTTCTCTGGTCAATGTATTTAAGATGATGGTGCGCAGCTGTCTGTGTGTCAATTAAAGATGGTAAGAGGCAGAAACTTTCATTTTTGTATACTACCGAGTTCATCAAATTGAGCAACCAGAGGAAATGTTAATGAATTTTAATAAAACGGCAAACAAACAATCAAAAAAAGAATGATAAACTTGATGATAAAGTTAAAGTTTAAAAATTAAACATTATATCTATGTGTGAAAGATGAAGATGAAAGATGAAAAATGTGCTCATATATTTAAAATTTTTTTAATTTTTTCTATTTATTTCGCATATGCAAGTATTGTATATCCGAATGAGTAAAAAGACCTGAACTATGACGCCATGTGAAAATAACTAAACAAACAAGCCAAAAGTTTCCAAAAACCTATAAAAGCTAAAAACGAAAACAGAAAAAACAAACAGAAATGTAGGGAGAAGTGTTACTTTTTATTTTTGTAATGTTTCAAGACTTTTGATGTATGGACTTTGTTGGTTCGTGATGACTGCTGATGCTGCTACTTCTGCTGCTGCTGCTGACGACATTTCTGGTGTCGAGTATAAGCGACAAACTGGCGGCTTAGTTGCCAATGACCTCGACCGCAGTTGAAATCAAGTAATTATTTTTCTATACACAATAAAAAAGTTAATGAGACTATATATGCATTGAAATACAACTGCAAATAGCTGGGAATGTTGAGATTGTTGCACTTTGATGTCACTGCATTTGCTTGTAATGTCATCCACAGCTCAGAGAAATAATATTGCAAATCAACTTTTGTGAAGAGATTTACAACACTGTTTTTGGTTTAAGTAGATAAAGAGTTAATAAAGCCAAGTTAATTATGACCAGATTAAATACCATTTAGCCGACAAAACGTTTTTAATACATCAAGATGCTCATTATGACTAATTAAAATAATATTAATTAAAATGCAGTAATGACTTGAGCAAAATAAAAATATATTTTTATTTCAAATGCTTTAACTTAATATAATATTTAATTGTTTATATTTTTTTAAATAAAATTGGGAAGTTTTGTATATCTAGCGAACGTTTAAAATTATTTATTTTTTTATTTTGTTTTGTTTGTGAAATGTATAACTTTCACATTTCCCCTTTTTTAATTGAATAATTATATTACAATAATTTTAGCTAAAATATTTTTTTAATTTTGGTTGCATTTCAAGCTGAGTAAATAAAAAAATTAAAATAAATAATTAGTACGAAATACTTAGACAATCCATTTAATGATGTAACACGCTACAGTAGCCAAAAGTTTGTTTCCTAAGTCTTTTGTTTATTTCGAAGTGCACGTAATTTGTTCGGTTTTACGCCCTGCTATTTACGATTATTTATGCTCCAAATCTAAATAATTGCAAAAGATCAATTTTAAGTAAAAGTGTAATATTTCAAGTAATATACTGTAATATTATTTTATTATGCAACGAAATATAATTTTAGGTAAAAGAAATTAAATTTTAAAATTGAAATCAGTTAATTAGTTTGCTAGTAAAATTAGTAATTATCCGTATTTTCAAAATGTTCAAAAATAAAAAGCGAAAGGCATAATATATAAAAAGATATCGTATAGTTAAATATATTATTTATATTAGCTTGTAAATTATTTATTATCTTTAAAATAAATATATGTTGTTTTATAATATTATAAGCCACGCCGTGTGCGCTTTGTCAAAAATAATATAATACTAAACCCTGAATTTTTTTAAACTAAGTATTAACAAAAAATAGTACTAATGCTCAAGTTAGTCCCATAAATATATCAATCAATTTGCTAAATATATCAAAAATGTCTTAGTTTAGAAATCAAAGAAGTTTAATATAACATAACTAAGTTAAACTGTTTGTAAAATTTTTTTATAAAAAACTTTTTAAATAGTTTTTTCACGTGAAGCATTTTTTTTATATTTAATTTTTTAATGTTAACTTTTTTTTTACCAAAATAACTGCCTTGTATCGCGAGGTCCATCATTTTAAATATAGTACGTAATATTTTTTTTTTTGATTTTTCACGTAATAGTTATATTTACCGCATATCGTTCCGTACCGCGTTTCTTTGAAGGTACCTTAAGTATATATTTAAGCATATTATTCGTCTTATTAAATTAGCTATATTCATTTTCTTTTCACATACACTAGGTTGTTCTGATATTTTATATTCAGTATATACATTTATCCGGGGGAATTATAAATTAAAAAACATGTGTAAAGGTCACCCTTTTGTTGTGTTCTCTTTATATAAATATAATTTTTCTAAAAACTAATAGTGAGATGTATGATAATAGAATAAACTTAAGTATTTCTATAATGCATTGATTTCTGTATATCTTGATCTAAAATATAACTGTAAGTTGCCTCTACCTACCTATTTCTTATTGCATTTGAATACAACTGAACTTAAATGGAAGGTACTAAAGAGAAGTATAACCCCACAGTAAAAAAACGGGTTTGAGTTTTGATTTTACAGACTAAATGTTGTAGAGGCTATGTCCAAAAGGCCATAGCCCTATTTAAAGGTGGTTTGTGAAACTTTAAATGCTTGTAGAATTTTGTGTTTTCTTCAAAAATCTTCAAAAATCATTTGTAGATTATAAACAAAATCACGTCTGCAATACACTGCACCATCAATCAGAGCAATGAAATGTTTAACTTCTGATGACCTATCCAATCTTTTAAATAAGGTCATATTTAAATATATCTATAACTGTGTTTTATAATGAAATAATACAATTCTATTAATGTAGGGTATTGCAGTGAGTATCGGGTAAGTCTCATTTTTCTTTAACTTTGTTTGGTTGGAATGAAGTTCCACTTTGTAGAAAGCCTTTACAAACAATCTGCTGTTCACGTAAAATAATTCTGTCTGATATCTGATATTTTATATTCTTAAAGTACTGTACAATACCAGCATATAGAAAATAATAATTATTTACACATATACCATACATTGAATTTATAAAAATGATATTTTCTGTTTTTATAATATTAATAATAAATTTTTTAATATTAATATATATACTATTTCTATTATAGTATATAAATAGATTTACTTTAAACTTGACATATAACCAAATCACACCAAATATAAGCATCATCTTCCCACATAAAATCAGAAAAAGCTAAGTTAATTTTCTGTGTTTTATAGAAAACTTGATAAAAATACACATTTATATCCATGCTTATTATGATTTTTATTGAAAACTCAGTTTCTATTAAAACTATATTTAAAGGTAAAAAAAAGATTTTTTTTAAATATTTTTTATAGAAATTTTCTATCTCTACTTGTTTACTTATCTATAAATTTCTAATAAAAGTTTTTTTTTTACATATTTTTGCAGTTGCTCATGAAAACCAAACGCTTTCCAGCAAAGTCGGGATTCACGTGACATGCACATTTGGCTATTCAAAAACAAACAAATCATGCAAAAGTCTTAACTAAAAACTGTGTTTTTGGCAAGAAACGAGAAAAACGTGCGCTGGCGCACATTCCATTACCACAAATCACCCAATATGCGCCTCAAGTCATTTAACCTAAAAACAGTCAAATAAAGTGAAAATTCCAAATAAATAGAAATAAATAAGTGAGAAAAATAGAAATTAATAAAAACGCATATAAGTGAAATTAGCCAAAATATTTAATAATATAGCAAATAAAGTAAATAAAGTAAATAAAGAAAATTCAAATAATTCAATTAAAATTTATGTAAAATCAGTCTTGAAGTCACCAAACATGTATCGGTCGAATTTCTACGAATCCACCTGCCTGCGATGCAATGAAACAGTATACCAAGTTGATAGAGTGGGTCCACTTAAAGATTTCACATTCTTCCATTCGGGTTGCTTCAAATGCATACACTGTGGAACAAAATTAACCTTAAAAACATATTTCAACAATCAACATAAGCAGGATGACAAAGAGGTAAGGCATCTAACATATCTATGGAATAAAGTTAGTATATTTAATCCTATGTGTATATGATAATTAAGTATAAGTAGGTTTCCATTTTATATTGCATACATCGATAAATGATAATGGTAAAAATTTAAATTTTATGTGGTTTAAAAAAAATTATAATTCTTATTTAGGCCTTGTGCGAGTTCGAGTAAATTTAGGTCAAGTAAATTGAAATTTCCTAGGGATTTTTTGCACTGCACTTATGTAAATATTTATTTATTTATTGCACTTATTTATTATTTTTGGTTAAAAGTTTTCAAATTTATTTATCTATTTATTAAACACCTTATAAAATTTTCACAATGGTAACACCTAATTTATCTAATTTTTATCTAATTTACCTTATTCGAAATTCTGGTAAATACCAACATTCGCTGCCATACCGACATAATTTACTATTTCCCTAAATTTAGCATCAATTTACTCGAACTCGCATACGGCCTTAATATTAAATTGATTTTTAATAGCGGTTTTAATGAAAGAAACTTAATTCTTAATATAAACTATTGTATTTCGAATAGCATTAAATTACAGCATTACCATTTTATTAATTAATTGAATTTTTGACTGACCATACAACTGTATCGAGTATTGCCAAATATCCATCAACAGTGGACATGAAATTATTTCATGTATTTGATTATTCGTAAAAAATTTTTTGAAACTGCAGGTACCAAGGATTGAACTCATGCCCTGCCAAATTTAAATCTTAGAGTCAGCGTTCATTAGCCAATTGACCCAAAATCGTACTTGACTTGTATGTTTTTATTAATTTACACTTAACCAATTGACTTGCTATGTTATATTATAACAGAATCATAAAACAGCTGTAGAATAATTGCATTAATTAATTATAGTTTTATTTTTAATTGTTAAATTTCAATACTATTCTTTTGTAGAGGTATTATATATTGCATGATTTTATTACTCTCTCTTGTGTATAGAATCTAATCTAGGAACCTAATAAGGAGAAAGTCATGCTACCTTTACCCCACGATTCGCTCAGACGAGATCGAAAAGGTTAATGAATATTTTTATTCATATTTTATTCCATAATAATTTTATATTAAATTTATTTCTTATTTATTGAACTCTTGATTGAACTCTTATTTAATAAAATTTATTTAGTTAAAATTTTATATATTTCATATTTTTATGAAATAACTACTTACTTACTTGACCATAACAACCTGTTGTTAAGTTTTGGTCCGAGGCTTTCTCTTGTCTCGTGTGTTAAACCTGACTAGTACCTCCTCAATTTGACCACTAAGTCCGATGCAGATCATTTCTCTACTTAATCCAACTGCTACCATAAATACTTTTTTCGCTGGAATAAATATAGTCATCCATTCTTCGAAATGACCGAGCCTGCGAAATCGCCGCGTGTTACATTGTAATGTTACTGTTATGATAAAATTTTTACATATCTTACATTCTATAATGCGATATATACCTGCCACTGCACTGCAATCCATTTGGAAGTCTTCCATAAAAATTGTAGCGGAACCGTTTAACAAAGATCCAATTGCTCACTTTTTCTTTGAGGGTAGAATCGTAGTAATATTTCTGTTGAATGTCACTCTCCGGATGATTTTATCATTTTTATCGGTAAAACTACAGACCTTTATATATCACCAAGTTTATTAATTGTGTATCCTTTATTCAAAGCTTTTCACCAAACTACTGATCGATACAATGGAATTAGGCGTACAACCTCTACGTACATCCATAGTGTTTACTTTGACTGAAGATCCATTTTTTATTTGTTGTTTGGATCTGTTTACAATACAGATCCTTGCGTTAACTTTGTAAAAGCATTTTATTTTCTAGATACAGTTAATGAGTTTCAATAAGTCTTCTTAGTATCCATATAATCACTTATTATGCCAATGAAGCAACAGTCCACTAGACATTGATTCAATGACATAGAACATGGTTCAAAAATTGATAAAATTAAATATTATTTGACTTCTTTTATTTAAAGTGATAAATTATCTTTTACTTTCAATTTTAAAAAAAGATTTTAAAAAACCTAAACATAAGTCTGAAGACATATTATATAAACAAATTATTCATTATCTCTTAAAAATGGATGCAATCCAATTACCTTTGCAAATATTTTCCTCTTAATTTTGTTTTCAAGTCTAAAACATCGCTTCGGTGTGCCACATTCAATATGGTTATCATGACAGTTTGTTAGGAATATTATGTTTTCCTGTTCCGCCTTTTATAGTTTATACAAAATATTTTTAAATTAATACTGAAATTATATATGTGGATTATAAAAATACGTAACTCGCAATCGAGTCATTACTAATAATAATAAAATTTTTGAATGGCTGGCAACAAAGTTACGCAAATCCCAAAATGGCGCTAGTCAAAATGGTCTAAACAGCTCCGCCATATTTGGCGGGCATCGACTATTTTGCAATAAAATCACCTACATATTATGCACATTTGATGTAAAAATTAATTAATTAATGAAAATACGAATAGAATATTTAAAATATCTGTACGTACAATATTGCTTAAATTACCTAATAATATGTTTTTTCAATAATTCTTATTAGTGACAATATACTTATACACTTAAATATCTCATATATAAAAAAAGCAGAAAAACAAAAAATTAGTCGTCCCACTATAATAATCATCAAAGTACTGCATAATTCTATAAAATTGATCTTATTGATCCACAACAACCACATGTCAATACTATTACATTTAGTTATTCGCTCAAAGGATCTCTTTTCAATATAATATATATTATTTCGCCTTATTTTTCTAGTCTCCTTGACTACGCTCATATATTATACGTATATATAAATATTATTGATTAATGAATACTCAAAAATTACAAACATTATGTAAAATAATAAATGGATACTAGCACCCTACCAATATTCTTCTTTCTTAGCATTACGGTGCTCGGTGGACCAGTGCTTCCTTAACCGATTCTTGCTATCTGACTCGATCTGATGTCAAGTTTTTTCAATCGCTTATTAAAACTTCTTCAGAATCTTCTAGCCAGCTCTTTCTAGGTCGGTCTCTTCTTCGGCATCCAACTGTACCAATATTACACCAGTCCAATCTTTCTTCAGCTGAACTGTGATTTATGGTCACAGTACAGTA